AAATCAGTGTGAAAAAATAGTTTATCGCCTCGTCCCAGTAATTTAACGTGTTTCATGGGTGGAAGGGAACAGTTTTCTTGAACGTTAGTGACACCTTTCAAAGATTTCATCTCACTGTCTTTATCAAACCCGTTGTGGGTTTTGTCAGGCATTGCCTTTTTTCAAGAACTAACCGCCATTTCTTCTAGACGCCACTTATGAGCCTTAGAAGTTGTCGCATTCTCAGCCCCTGGTTTTCTTTTTATTCCAGATTGGATGCACGAATGCATTGGAAGAGGGCTTAGACGTGATTCCCTCTTCACAGAACGGAGAGGAAGTAAAAGAACAAGCTCATCAAGCTAGAGGTGACAAACCCATGGACGACACGGAAACGCCTCTAACTGAAGCGACATCAGTTTCTTTAATTCGGATAGAAAGTAGTCAGCCTGCAGCAGCTTCTACCCTTGAAATACTCCCCCTCACTCAAACGCCCTCTTGCACTTATGTCTCTGGTGCGATACCTTTCACACAGTCACGGTGTCTGTCTACAAGTCTTACTGCAGACACGGAGAACATAAATCCTAAAAGTGACGAGAAGGGATCGGCTCAGCCCGCTATTTTTGTTACTGGATCAAACCTCTCTCCAATAGAAATTGTGAGTGTCTTGAATTTGGCAGAGTTGAGTGTTCGAGAATTAAGTCTTATCTTTCGTTTCGCTAGAACGCACTCCGTCGTTTCTGTCGTCAGTTCAATGCATTCGAGATGCCGAGCTTTGAGCCAAATCGCACGACCCACGTGGTCATGGCGACACAGGTGACACGACCACGAGTGGCCCAACGCACACTGAAGTACTTCATGGGCATCCTCTATGGTGCATGGGTGGTAAACACGCTATGGGTTCGCAAGTGCCTCTTGGCTGCCACACTACTGCCCGAGGTGAATTGCTTTGAGGTTAAACGATCGGGTTTAAGCCAGTGGAAACTCCGGTCCTTTCCTCTTGTATTCACTTCTATTCACTTGCCTCAATACTTAGCTAACTCCTAGCCTAGGAGTTACACTTAAATTGCTCTTGGACCTCTTCGTACATGGCGTAGGCTATTTTTCAGCCCTCCATGTATATGCATTCTACTCCCACTTCAATCTTTTCACTTTTCACTCAACTGCTACTTATTAGCGTCTGCTATGCGACGAATTTTTCGCTCTAATTTTAGTAATCTTAAATTGGGAATAGGTTTGGAAGTACTCTTCTACTAGTTTTTTTCCGAATTGATTACCTGTGCAAACTAATGTTCACCAACTTGATGATGCTTTGTACAAACCATGTTCCGCTGTACATTCGAAGGCAATTGTAAAGTCTTTTGCTATCGAAGTCATTGTCGTAGAAGTAATGCGGCGCAACAGTATGAGTAAATGGTGTTCTTGTACTGCAAATGATTAGGTATCCACAAGAGTGACTAGGCGCCTGAACTGTGAAGGTGGGAAGCGTATGTGGTTTGAATAAGTTTACTTCATGGCCTTCTTTTGAATGTGCCTGGTGCTGTTTATGATCTCTCACGATGAAGTTAGAACAAGTCTCCCTTCGATTTATAACCAGCTGATGTATTAGTTTCACCGCATAACGAAACATTATTTTGTAGTGGCGACAAGTGCTGTAAATTTGGTCCGACTCTGAGTTTGCGAGCGAGAGCAGCCTTTGTACTGACCACTTCTTAGTCGACGGTTCCCCAAAAACTGAACAGAGATATGGCCCTCATAAAAGCTACTTTTATTTAAACACTGATCTCAGTTTTCAACAATATTAGTTTCCTAAAATATTTAGGCCTAATAGTCGGTTCACATTTAAAATTTAGGAAACCTTTGAGATCCAAGGCGATACGATGTGTGGCGACTGTCACGAAGGTCCGCGCCGAGGAAGGCTGCGTGTAGCAGCGATTCCTCCTTCGCTGAGCACATCGAATCAATGCACTGCCCTCCTTTCTTACCCAGATCAACGGGGACCCTTTACGGGCCTATTACTTTGCCCTTTTGGCGATATCAGTCCACTCACTCCAAAAGATTTCGATGCTCTGGTTATTGGTGGTGGCGGTACTCCCATCACCGAACCTTCTCTCTTCCCGTCCGAAGTTGTTGTCACCGCCACCGACGCTACGGGAAATAAATCCAGGCGTCTCATCTTCACCTGTC